TTGGCTGGGAATTCATGATTCACATTGTACTATTAGAAGAATTGAATGGGAAATTAAAGAAATTGTTGATAAGAAGAAGGAGAATTTGCCAGATCCTGCACCGAGGGAGCAGATTGAGAAAGAACTTGAAAAGTTTAAGGCAATTCCATTAGACAATTTTATTCCAAACAGAGTGCTTGAGGTGGATTATCCTTTCCAGTATGTGAATTCTCTCACTCTTTCTCCTCTTTCACAAGCCAATTCATCCCAAATTAGAAGCATTGAGATAGCTCAACAATCTACTCAACCACAACAACAATTTCAACCACTGAATTCTTACAATAGTACAATGCCAACCTATCCTCCAAATGATAGCATTTGGCAACAAGAAGATCCATCCAATCATGACAAATCTCAAACTACCAAAACACCACAACATGCACCAATTAACTGGATGGGAGAAGATACTCTCGACATGGAATCATTTCTCAACAGAATATAAAATTGTAATTCTCTAAAATCATCTCATGTTCGTTTATTATTCGTGTAAAGTTCCATTTTTCCCTAATTTTATCTATTTTGTAATAAACATTGAAAAAGTATTATCTTGAAAAAAATGAAAAGACAACCAACGGAAGAAGTTTCTTCCAACAATAAGAAAATTAAACAAACTAATGATGAAGAATCAACACTATCGGAACAAGAAACAAACAAAAAACTTGGATTAATTAAAACTTTTCTCGATGATTTTATAGAATATAAAACGAATTATGATGATGAAGATATTGCCGAGGAGGATTTTGAAGAGGAAGCACAGAAGGATGCAAATGTTGAACGTCTCCGAAAATTTAGAGATAAATCCTATAAGAAGAATTGTGGAATTGATTGGAAAAAGGATCGTTCAATGATTATTGAGCAGACTGCAAAATTGTCAACTGCATCTGATATGATGGTAGTTGCCAAAGAATTTAAATTGTGGAATGAAAAGGAGTTTGTTATAAAGCTTATTGAAAAGAGTGAATATGACTTGTCCTATGAAATACCAAAGAAATTGAAAAAGGATAGAGATGTTAATCTTGCATCTGCAAAGAAACATGGAATTATAAGTGATGGATTAGAGAAGGATAGGGAAATTGTGATGGCTGCTGCTAGTAGTGGTAATCTATCATGGCTTCCAAAGGAATTTTCAAATGATAGGGAGATTGTAATGGCAGCTGTTGCCAATAATGGAAGAATTTTGAGAGGTGTGGGTGATGAATTGAAAAATGATAGAGAAATTGTTAGAAAAGCCATTGAAAATGATGGATGTGCAATTGCAGACGCCCCAGAAGAATTTCAGAAAGATAGAGAACTTGCTGAAATGGCAGTTAAACAAAATGGACGTGCCTTTATTTGTTTGAAAGAATTTGAAAACGATAGGGAGCTGCTAAAGATTGCTATTAAAGGAGATACCACCATTATTGACAAATTACCCTTTGCTATCAAGAATGATCGAGAAATTATCATGTTGGCTGTTGAGAAAGATGGATTAGCCATCAAATATGCTTCAGCTGATTTGAGAAATCAAAAGGATATTGTCATGAAAGCTATTGAAAAAAATCCTGATGTACTTTGTTATACTCCTTTGAAATGAGAAATGATCCAGAAATTAA